TCCTCCTCCTCCTCCTCTTCCTATTCTTCCTCCTCCTCTCCTTCCTCCTCCTCCTCCTCCTCTTTTCTCCCTCATCAAATCTGAAAGATTTCCTGTCTCTGAGAAATCGAGAATAAGAAGCAAATAATATTGATTTGGGAGGAAGGAGCGCTTTCTTAAAATGCAAACAGAGCCATTTTTTAAAAAAAGTCTAACGCAGCAACAACAACAACAATAACCAAATAAAAAAGGGGAACTAAAAAAAAGAAGAGGAAGAAAATCTCGAAGGAATCTCACCAGGTCAAAAAAGGGCAGGTTGAAATGGGTGGCGAGAACCGTTTTGCAAACTCAGAATGCCAAAAGAAAAAAAGAAAATGGGTGAGTTTTCTCACCACTGGCCTCTGTTTATCCACCCACAAGCCAGTTCACTTTTTATTAATAGCCCAGTTAATCAAACCATCCATAGCTTAGCTTTTCCAAACTGGGGTTTGCACAGCTTGCTCTATCCTGGTTTACTGAAACTGTCCCCAAAGTGCTGAGTTCACACAAGACAGGCAAACCACAAACCCTGGTGGACAAAGCCGCATGGCATGAGTGTGCCTTCACAGGTCAGCCCACACCTCAGATTAACAAACCAGGTTGGGGGTTCAACTCTGCTGTACAGGCCGGGCCCCCTTTCAAATTGTGTTTAAGCCCAGGGAAACCTCAACCCAGTAGCTCCTTCAAAACTCAGCAACTTAGCTAATTTCTACCTTCTTGTTTTTCCGGCTGCTTTTTGCCGGACAGAAGGTGAAATGACCTCTGAGCAGCTCCTGCCTCTTTGTTCAAATTCTCCCAGCTTGCTCTGGTAACCCTTAGCGGGGGCCAGCATCTTCAATTTAATTTGGTCTCTTGGTTTGCAATTATCACCAAGATGATGGTTTAAAGGAGGAGGTGGGATGAGGACACTGAGGGATCAAGAGCTGTGATTGGGGAGAGTCAGTTAAAATGACATCATTCTTATCTATATTTCTATATTTCCCTGTCTCTATGTCTCTATCATCTATCTATCTATCTATCTATCTATCTATCTATCTATCTATCTATCTATCTCTATCGTTTGTCTATTTATCTCTATTGACTATATCTATCTGTATCTATCTATCTCTATTGTCAGTCTATCTATTTATTTCTATCAACTCTCTCTGTCTGTCTATCTATCTATCTATCTATCTATCTATCTATCTATCTATCTATCTATTGTCTATCTATCTATCTGTCTATATCTATCTATCTATCTATCTATCTATCTATCTATCTAATATATATAAAGGATCAATAACCCAATTAATTTAATTGGGTTATTGACCCTTTATCTTAAGCCAGCACAAAACATTTGTTCTTATTTAGCATATGATAGCAATAGCTACATAGACTTATAATATACTGCTTTCACAGGGCTTTTACAGCCCCCTCTAAGCGGTTGACAGAGTCAGCCTATCACCCCCAACAATCTGGGTCCTCGTTTTACGGACCTTAGAAGGAGGGAAGGCTGAGTCAACCTTGAGCCCCTTCAGGATCCTGCAATATTGCATTATGACGAGAACATGATGGAAGAGAAGTGAACATATTCACACAATCCATGTAATTCTATACAACCCCCCTGCAAAGCGGGGGAGAATATGGCAGTGGCCTCGTAACGGGATGTCCAATTCCCCTTGTTGCGATTGTGGTGCTGATATGCAAACTATTAAACACATTGTGCAAGATTGCCCAGAATGTCCGTTCTCTGGTTGCCTAGAAGACCGGCACGAAGCAACACCAGAAAACGAAACACTGAATCGCACATTAACCAAAGTGGCTAGCTGCATTCACACATCAGATTCCTGCCAGGCCTGATAATAACAAAACACAGGATCAAAACGACACATGATTAAAAACTAAGCAAGATCTAAACGAATCCAAGGTCCATTTAATCAAGATCAAAACTAAGCAAGATAAGAAAAAATAGCCACGATTGACACCAATCAAGGTTAAGACCAAAACGAATCAAAACCTAAATTAACCAGCATCTCCTGATGAAAAACCTTGCCCTCATCACCAAGTCCGTCCTGTTCAGACGTGTGGACAGCTAGATTGTGGCTTTCAACTCATCAAGTGCCTTTATCCCACAATCAGAATGGGAGCCCTGTGTAATCCAGAAATGGGCTCCAGTGTCTCAAGAGTTCAGTGTAACTTAAAAACTTGCAAAATAACCTGCGGGTGGATTCGGCCTTCTTTAAACTATTTCAGCACTGTTTGAGCTGGACAGGGATTATTTTAACTCCTTGCCTGATTTCATTTGCCTTTTAAGCAGGGCTTGGAGATTGAGTGACTTTTGCAATTTTGCATGCTGAAACCAATTTTAAAAAAATTGGCACAGAGAAAAAAGCCACCTACAACCCAAAGCTCTACATATTTACACAGAGGTAAGCATCGCTGAATTCAAGAGGATTTACTCCATAGTGGAAATATCTACAGTTGGGTTTTCCAAATAACCGGAGAGTTTTAAAATAATTTTTAAACCAAATTTCCACCACAGCCACCAAAATTATATTGTAGAAAATGGCACAAATGTCAATTGTCCTTGATACACACATCTAGCTGCAATCAAACTTTCCTGAGTTTTCCTAAAATATGTCCTTCCCTCCCCCAAACCAAAATAACTCCCAACTTGGCCCTACCTAAAGTTCAGACATCCACATTTCAATAAGAACCAGCCAGTAAAATGTTCTCTGGGTTGAGTGACAAGAGTAACAGAACTCAGGTGGAAAGAAAGAACGAAAGGAAAGGGAGCCGAATTCGTGGATTAAGAATGCAGAGCGAGTTTCTTTTTTTTTTTTAAAAAAAGATAAAATATAAAGGGGAGAGGAAAAAAAATAGAAGAGAAGCAATCGAGGGATTCAATTCATGGATTAAGATGAAGATTAGTCTCTGACTAAACTCCCTCCAACTAAACTCGCTTCTTTGCAAACTTCCGCACCCCAAACAACCGCCTTACACCGATTTTCTCAATTGCAATGGCGACTTTTTAAAAATTATTTGAACAGGCTTTCTCCACGCTTCCCAATCCCGCTTCTGAACCAGCCGGGGATATTTGAGATCGGCCAAGACAGGCCGAGAATAAGGACCGGCTGGAATCCAAAGGAAACCAAGTCTAAATCCGAATTCGCGGCTCTCTGTGCGCTCTTTCTCGCTCGATGGCCGGCTCTCTTTCCCGCCCGCGTCTCTTTCTCGCTTACCTTCTGTTCTGGTACCAAGTTTTCACTTGGGTGTCGGTAAGGTTGAGGGAGGCGGCCAGTTCCATCCGGTCCTGGACGCTGAGATATTTCTGCCTCTCGAAGCTGCGCTCCAGCTGCGCCAGCTGGTGATCCGTGAAGGCGGTGCGCGCCTTGCGAGGTTTCTTCAGCCTCACCGGAGGGCTTTCTCGGGAGCTGGAGATCTCCCGGTCGCCTTCCTCCTTCACTGGGGCCGGGAGAGAAAGGGAGAAGAAAATGGGTCCCGGCGCTTTGGGGCGGAGGGGCGAAGGGAAGGAGAAAAGAAGGGAGGGAAAGGAACAGGAAAGAAAGGGAAAGGGTGGGAAGGAAAGGAAAGGAAAGAGAGCGAGGGAAAGGAAAGGGAGAGGAAAGAGAGAGAAAGGAAGGAAAGGAAAAGGAGGATGAATGGAAAGGAAAAATAGAAAGGGAAAGAAAAAGAAAAGAGTGAGAAAAAGAAAGGCAAGGAAGCTGGTAAATAGATAAAAGAAAAACAGAAGGGTGAAGGAAGAGAAGAAAGCGGGAAAGAAAGAAGAAGGGAAAGGAAGGCAGGATTAAAATAAAGAAAAATGGAAAGAAGATAAAAGGGGAATTAAGAATAGTAATGAAGGGTAGGAGAAAAAGAAAGTGTGGGAAAAAGAGAGAAAGCTAGCACATTTAGAAGAAAGAGGGGAAAATGGGAGGAAAGGAAGGAAGGAAGGAAAGTATTTTTCACAGAAGCAGGGTTAGGGGTATTCATCAGCTTCTGGGGATCTACCACGCGTAATTATCCATGTCCCCCCCCCCCAAAAAAATATCCCACTGCTGTTTACTCAGGAGTAACTTCCCTTCCCCGGGACTCTCTCCTAAAAAAAATTGTCCACATAAAACCATTTGCTTCTCCCCCCTCAAAAAAAAATCCCTCAAAACTTAGGTTTACCTAGAAGTATGCCCACAGGAAGATAGGCATTGTAGTCCAATAGGACTAAAACACCCGTGGGGGGTGGGCTAGTGAGAAAAAAGCTAAGCTATCCCCTTTTCAAATATATAATGGAAAGGAGCTCTGCTATTATCTCTGTAAAGTGACAACCCCCACCCCCCCACCCCCGCGCAAAAAAAGCCAGGCACACACAACACACGGCACTTCCTAGTGCCACGTTTTACACACAGTGGCAACAGCCCAAACATATTCCTTTCCTTTCATTTGCAACCTTTGTCATTAAATAATAATCAAACGATCAATTATTAAACAATTAATAGATGTAATCAGCCCAGCCAGACCACGAATCCTTCCCTCAATAGCTTTCTGCACAAAGTCCTCTGGGGAATGGTTCAAGCTTATTCTACGTTCTTAATGTAAAATTGGCATAAATAATAGACCTTGTTTTGGAGAGGAAAAAAAACCCACCAAGGCGGTGAAGAAATGTGTTAATTTAAAGGAGAGAGAGGCTGGTTTTTAAAAAAAGTTGATTTCCCGCCTGGGTGAACTGAAAATCCACATATACATTTTACTCTTTTTAAATAATAAGAGAGAGAGAGAGAGAGAGAGATTATGTTGAAAAGAGTCCTCAGTTATCCTTTGTTTAATCCTCTCCATGCATTCCTCATGTAGCTGAAATCACAATTCTCTCTCTTATAAGTTTCAATTGAATTCAATAGGATTTACTGATAAAGAGTTGAACTTTCTCCCCACTTCCCCCTTCTGCTGGAAGTCTTAAGGAAAATCATTTGTCAGCTGCTATTAACAGAGATCAAGAATCAAGATTAGGAAATGCATGAAGTGTTGGCATCCCTTTATAAGGCCTTTGTAAGACCACACTTGGAATATTGTATCCAAATATCAACCAATCAATAAATCAATCCACCAGAATAGAGCTGGAAGGGACCTTGGAGGTCTTCTAGTCTAACCCTCTGTCCAAGCAAGAGACCTATACCATTTGAGACAAGTGACTGTCCAATCTCTACTTGAAAACCTCCAGTGACGGAGCAGCCACAACTTCCGAAGGCAGCTTCTGTTCCACTGGTTGATTGTTCTCACTGTCAGAAAGTTTCTCCTTAATTCCAGGTCGCTTCTCTCCTTGATTAATTTCCACCCATTGCTTCTTGTCCTGCCCTCTGGCGCTTTGCAGAATGATTTGACCCCCTCCTCTTTGTGGCAGCCCCTCAAATACTGGAATATTGCTACCATCATGCTCTCAAATTTGGTCACCACAGTACAAAATAAAAAGTTGTTAAGACTCTAGAAAGAGTGCAGAGAAGAGCAATAAAGGTGATTAGGGGGCTGGAGGCTAAAACATAAGAAGAAGGTTGCATGGATTGGGTTTGGCTAGTCTACTGAAAAGAGGGACCAGGGATGACATGGTAGCAGTCTTCCAATATCTAAGGGGCTGATATCTTTGCTCAGCTGAGATTCAGCTTTATTCTGAATGCAAGTACTTGTTATTTTTTCTTCTTCTTCTTCTTCTTCTTCTTCTTCTTCTTCTTCTTCTTCTTCTTCTTCTTCTTCTTCTTCTTCTTCTTCTTCTTCTTCTTCTTCTTCTTCTTCTTCTTCTTCTTCTTCTTCTTCTCCT